ATTTGCCATCTTTTTTCGAGAATTTCAAATGGAACCATATATTTTTCCTGCTATGATATGAAAGTAAAGTAAACGAGAAGAAAAACGGTGAAAACCGCGAGTTGATACCTCTTGAAGAACCGGAGAAATACTCGGATTGAAATTTAAACTGTTAGCATGTCAAATGCCTCCTCATTCGGTATCGGCATTTTGACAAATAAGCAATCCACAGTGAAAACTTTCAATGGAACTTCAATTATATTTTGACGTTTCTTTCATTCAAAGCCAACTTGCATTTTCTCATTCCTCAGCCTATACTCACTACTTACATTTCAATTATCTATTTAATTACTAAGAGTCTCCTTCACTATCGTGAGATATAACAGCAGTTGGTGAAACCAAAATAAATGAATTATTGAAATCATATTTCTGATGACTATTATTGAAGTTAGATACCTGTGGTGAATATTTTCATAATATTATTTCGATTATTTCACCGGTTCCTCAAGAGGCATCAATTCGCGGTTTTCACCATTTTTCTTCTCGATTGCTCTTCTTTCATATTAGAGTAAAATTAATATACCGGGTGACACAGGGTATCGGGCCACCCCTGTAACTTCTGCTTTCGTCATCGGATTTTTCTGAAATTCGGTACAGTTATATAAGCAATTATTTCGGATTTGATCACATTACAATCCAATATGGCGGACTTTCGGTATTTCTGGAAATGCCAGCAACTTTGTTTTTTCAAATGAAACACCCTGTATATTTATTTATTTATTTATTTATTTATTATAGGTAATTCAACAGAACATAAGTTCCAATTACAGAATTACGCATTGTGACAATATTAATGCGTGTGGTATAATTAATAGGTACATTAAAACTGACTAATAACTAATAACTAATAACTAATAATTACATTTTGTATCTGAGTAGTAGGTAACTAGTATGAAACTGAAGTAGAACGAAAACTAATAGTAAATTAATCTATAATTTGAAAACATCAAGAGCCATTTTTTTTACCCGAGCGGCTGTGTTACAAAACAAATCTATGTGAGAGAAATAAAGATTATATAATTCTTGAATTGACATCACAGGTGAATTTTTTGAATAGTTGGTATTTCGGAAGCTGGTATAAAATAAATGAGGAGAACGAGTGGCATGGGGCTTTATACTGAAGTTGAGACTGCTCAATAAGTATGGACTATCTACTTGATTATTGACTATTTTAAAGAGGAATCGTACGAACGAGACCAATCTCCTAACGGACAGTTTGGGTATATTATAATACTTGAGACTCGTTTCATAGTTTTGAAAGTGCAGTTGTCTATTGAATTTAAAGTTCAAGAAGTTTACAAATTTCTTTTGTACCCTCTCAATCCGATCGATATATTTATAATAATGTGGGTTCCAGATAATGCTGGCGAATTCAAGATGGCTACGAATTAGTGAGTTGTATAAAATAATTAGAGACCTATGATTCGTGAAAGATTTTGTGATTCGCATAATGAATCCCAAATTGCGCAAGGATTTTTTTAGAATGGATTCAATGTGATTTTCAAAAGTCAGTTTAGAGTCCAACAAGATACCTAAGTCTTTTATCAAGTCAACTTTTGCCAAGTTGTTATTGTTAATAGCATATGGAAAGTCTATGGCTTTATGTATTCTGGAGAACGTAATTTGATTACATTTTTGAGCATTCAGTACGAGTTTATTAGTTTCACAGTAACTTTGCAATCTAATAAGATCTGTCTGCAAATTCAAGCAGTCTGTATTATTTTTGATAGTTTTGAAAACTTTTAGGTCATCTGCATACAAGCAGAACTCAGAATGTAGAAAACATTCACTGATGTCATTAATGAAAAGAGAAAACAACAGGGGTCCAAGGTGTGAACCCTGAGGTACTCCAGACGTAACATTGGTGTACTCCGAAAACCAACTATTCAAAGTTACAGTTTGCGTTCTATCCCTTATATAACTTTCTATCAATCTGAGTAAGTTGCCATGTATACCAATATTTCCCAGCTTAATAATTAGTGACTTATGATGAACTTTATCGAAGGCTTTGGAAAAATCGGTATACACAGCGTCAACTTGTAGCCTAGAACTCATGTGATCAAGAATTTTTTGAGTAAAAAATGCTAGATTTGTGATAACCGAACGGCCTTGGAAAAAACCATGCTGATTGTCGTTTATGAGATGTTTGGTTGCATAAAACAATTCGAGGGTTATAATGGCCTCGAATATCTTTCCCGGAGTTGAAAGCAACGATATTGGCCGATAATTTAAAACATCATTTCGGTTTCCACTTTTGAAGATGGGAATAACATTGGCATGTTTCCACTTATCCGGATAAACTCCTTCAGAGAGAGATTTGTTGAAAATTATCAGTAGTGGAACCGCTATTAAATTACATGTATTTTTTAGAAAGACTGGTGGTATTCCATCAGGTCCAGCACCCTTGTGTATATCAAGTTTCTTGATTTGTTCAGTGATCTGATCTAGTGTTATATTATTCATAGTAATGGAAGTAGGTGGGTCCGATCTAGTAACAAAAGGAGGGATGTCTGCTGGTTCGAAAACAGATGAGAAATATTGAGAGAAAGCTTCACAAACCTCGCTGTCTGTAGAGAAAGTGCTACCTTGATATTCTACATATCTTGGAACGGTTTTGGATTTATTTCGGTTTGATACGAAAGACCAAAAGGTTTTCATGTTATGTGTCATATCGTTTTCGATTTTGCGAGAGTAATCAGCAAAGTTTTGTTTTATTGACCTTTTTATCTCCCTCCTAATAGTGCAAAACTCCACATAGTCTGCCTGATTATGATATTTTTTCCATTTTTTGTGTAATTTGTATTTTTGTTTTATCAGTGATTTTGTGAAGTTGGTATACCATATCGGAAAATCTTGTTTGAATAGTTTGTTCGGTACATGCGCAGAAATGAGATAATTGATTTTATTGTAAAATACATCAACAGCTTCATTGCAGTGGAGTTTTCCCAATAAAAGTTTCCAATCTGTAACATTCAGTTCGGCATTTATTTCATTGTAGTTAGCTTTGAAAAAGTTTCTATTATTAAAAGAGTCCTTATGCTTGGAAGCACTGATATTTTCTTCCACATTGATCATAATTTCTAGAGATTTGTGATAGGAATCCTCGTTAACAAAGGGAGCTGGACTTGAAAGAACAGAAGTGTTATTCAGCGAGCTAAAAACTAAATCCAGTAGCTTACCTTGGATATTGCGATTGCCATTATATTGATCTAAGTTCAATAAGTTGAAAGTATCAACAATGTTTTCTCCAATGCCGTCGGACGTTCTAGCAGCAAAGTGAATATTTTGCCCTGTTTTAGTTTCCCATAAAATATTAGGACAGTTATAATCTCCAAGAATCAGAAAATCATCGTTGGGGTGGTTCAGAACAACATCGCGCACATGATTCAAGTGAATTTCTAAATCATGTTTACATATTCAAGTTCAACAGGTCCAAACAAGTGCAATCATTATTTCAAATGTCATTTTTTCGAAAAAAATTAAATTGAAATTGTTTTTTCATTTTACCTCGTGGATAAATGAGATGTGGCCAAGACTATTCACAATGAGTCACACATAACAAAAGAACATAATTTTTTCTGAAAAATTATTTTTTGTGTCACTTATCCAGGAATCAATTCAGCCACATCACTTTTTGATCAAAAATAATTTTTTTTTCAAATGGAACCCCTATGGGTCACCTACCCGTTTCTCTGGAACATACATTAAGGAACAAAATGGAATATCATTTTTGTGCTTCGGTGCAGTAACAAATTGTATACATTCAAAAATCAACAACTAGTTTATGAATTTCCTTGCAGTTAGAATAATTTTTCAACTAGGTAGGCTGTGGAATAAATGACATTTGACATCAAGATTGCATTTGTTTTGACCTGTTGAACTTGAATATGTAAAAATATACAGGGTGTTCCATTTGAAAAAACAAAATTGCTGGCATTTCCAGTAAAACCGGAAGTCCGCCATATTGGATTGTAATGTGATCAAATCCGAAATAGTTGCTTATATAACTGTACCGAATTTCAGAAAACTCCGTTGACGAATGCAGAAGTTACAGGGGTGGCCCGATAGCCTGTGTCACCCTATGGTTCCATGTGAAATTTTCGAAAAAAAATGGAAAATTGTCTGATTTTTCAAACGATGCCATCTAGGGGCCACCACAGGATTTGAATCGACTTGATTTGTGATTCATCTAGAAGAACCAAGTAGTAATGGGAGTTTTTTCAAAGTACTATTCATCCTTCCCTCTCTCTTTCATTTAAAGAGCTAGCGCAATTTTTTCTGATCTAAATGATAGGAAATCAACTCGAGAACATAAAAAAAGTGTTTTTGATATGTCTTGATATATCAAATTTTCATAAAATCCCGTTTATTAAACTGGCCAATGCAATTACGCCCTCTAGGGGCTGTCCTGGAAACTTGAAAATAATTTCCAGAGATTTCTCTTTTCCACTTTTATCATTCATATTTTTTTTCGAAATCTGTGCGGCAAATAGTTTCCGAGAGTCAGCCGGCGTCCTTTCTTAGTGGTACACCCGGTATAAGTTAAACGTAAAAAATGACAGCTATCGTCACATTCCTAGTTTGTTCTCAAACACACAATAATTTGTTCATTTTTAAAGTAAATTTAAAAAATGCACAAACGATTAGCTTTCCAAATTTATAAGAAACTCCGTAAAAATGCGTGTAGTGGGTGATGCAAACTTTTGAATTTGTATATCAGTTTTTGTATCATTCCATACCGACCCCTCCGCCCCCCTCTTATTGCTGCACTAATTATATGCACATTTAAAGTTTTTTTTATGTCAATGTGGTCCATGTGATTTGAGAGCCTTCAATCACACCTTTCGGCTACTTCCGTTCGACAAATTGTTGCGAAGTTATTCGGACCAAGCCAACCTAATTATTTTAGTACTTTTCAATTAAAACGATAATTACGTCCATTAACTTAAACAATTTTTCAGGACCAGAAGACAATATTGGCCTGAATCAGAAAGGTAATGTACAGGTTTATCTATCATATTTCTTGTTATTATTATAATGAAAGCCCTCTCGGTGCTAGAATATAACATGTGTCTCTACTGATGATAGATTCAATCGATATTGAAGACACACGGGAGTCGTTGTACTCCTGCCAATAGTTCGAATACAAATCACTGCTGTAGGCAGTATAGTGCCCGTTTTTGGTAGTCAAGGATTGTTTATAGGTTGGCTCATCCCCTATACATCAATATGTGGCACAGATTTGGCGTAAAGCCATTCACAAAACCCTCGCTGGTTGGAGCATGTCAATGTTAACAAGTCAATGACTGACAATGATAGATCACTGATTCTATTTATCATTTCAGTCGACGTTTTGTCTTCGAATATCAAAACAATAATATAGATTCAATATTTTCAGAAATATGAATTTTGTTTCGAATACGAAAATCGTTTATCGTGACTATTCCACGACCATTTTCACGGTTTCTTCTGTATTTTAGCGATATTTCTTGTTTACTACATTTTATCGGACTTGATCTACCAATACAGAAGCTGAATTGACCCACATGTGACCAACCAACCTTGTTTTCATCGATGAAATATCTGACATTTAAAACGTCAATTATATTGGAAGTCATAATGATGGATGTAGTGTGCGCAACTCTCGCGAGACGTTTGTTTATTGTCTCAATCATACGAATACAACTCATGATACTATTTTTCCTGGAAATATTATTACTAGTGGTATCATAAATGATAAAAAAGTACTAAGGGTATCTCATCGCAGATTCTACTCGAATATATTTCTTGTCTTTTACAATCTGCGGAAAGGCAGTGGATGATGTGGTACTATTTTCTCTTGCAAAAATTGTTTTCCATATTTTCCTAGAGACAAACTACTCACTAGTGCCCAGTGGATTCAACAATAATTGTGAATTGATAAATTGAAAAGAACCAGATATGGTCACTCCTTGAAACCTCTCATGGTTACTCTGTGATCATAGAGGCGAAACCAAAGAATAATATAAACAACTTTTTTAAACAATCCTACCTAGCTCGGCCTGATATATAAAGTGTTTCCGAAATAGGGGCAATAAATTAAATGGACGATAAAATACGAAAAAAGAAAGAAATGAAAGAATACATTTTTATTAAAAAAAAAATATTTTGGAAGATATTCAATTACATTCACAATGTTGAAGGACGTTCAATAATAGTCTAATGATGTAATAAGGTAGGAGCGCATATTTTTTTAAAATTAGAAATTATTTTTTTTATATTTACCGTGTCACTATGTCTCACAAAGCATTTCATTTTATTAATTGCCCCAATTTCGGAAACACCCTGTATAAAGATAATATAAGGAAGGAAAACATCCTGTCTGCATTAGAAAGGAGACTACTCCTTTCAAACAATCTAGCCTTACTCAGCCTAAATGAACAGTTTTCCAGGAAGTATATTTTTCGGAAAATTACTTGAAAATAAAATTTGAACAAGAAACTGTTCCTCGCAAGCATTGAACCCGAGTCGCAGTCGCATGCTTGGCCGCTGCTAAGCGAGAAGCAAAAGAGACAAAAAATTCTTGCCAGCAAGAAGGCGCTTTTTGTATCGTTCTCATTGGTCTTTAGGAATCGCCTATACGTATGTTTGGGCAAAACGAATTCGTGCTTCAAATTCGGTTCTAGCGAAGGCTGGAGGCCTAAGTTTCCTATCTGGAAGTTAGAGGATTCGTGCCACACCTATCATGAGACGATGCGTCATATTTTTTCAATAGATATTATGAGTAATACCCTCACCTTCTCACAGGTGCTAATAACATTCACAATGGACTTGTTGCCAATTTGAAAATGGAAAGCTATGATTAGTAGGAATATTCATTTCTCGATTTCTTCTGATCTACCAATGCACTTGTAAATTTGTGATATTGAGGAATTGAATTGGATCATTATATGATTGAGATCTGTTTATGGATCATTTATAATAAAATTTTGAATTTGTATTGTGAATTACAGTGCACCCGGTTGTCAACGAATATATTCGACAAGTCATAACTTATAGAAAATTAGGTGTATCAAAATGAGATTTGGTAAAGGTAAATGGTATGTAAAAAGAATGTTTTAGCATATTATTCACCTCCCGATCACTTCCAGTTTTACCGGCTATGAATTTTCAAATGAAACACATTACATTTTTGGATTTCTGAGACAATTTCCTTGATCAGAATATTACGTTTTGAGAAGACTTTTGGTCTATTTCATTTTATTAAAGTCACTCAATATTTCATAAAATTAGGAAACTTTCACTGTCTGCTCATAAGGTTTATGTTACCGTCATTAAATAAGTGAGTGTTTTGTTTTCCAAAGACTTGATGAAAATAGCTTTAGAATATCATGGCTGTCAAAAGTGGAACAACTATTATCTAGTATTTTCCTCAATAACACTCGATTTATGATCATATTTTTAATCCAATCGCAAATGAATTAGTATCGTTGAATTCATCAAAAAAATCTTTTTTTCGAAAAGTGCTTGTCAAAAAATGGTCGCTATATGAAAAATAATAGTTTCACAATAAATGGAATTGTGTCAGCTGGCCTTTTTCCTATATGTTATACTTGTGAATAAAACTTCGCGATTGGAATTTTCTGAAGTCGCTTGAGGTCTTTAGATTATCCGATCATGGCCACCTAGATGCAATATTAAGAGTGACAAAAAAATTGATCAAGTAACCGTAAAAACTTTTGGATGTGCCACATTCTGATAAAGAAAAGTCTCAGAAATAAAAAAAAATGGTACAATATACAGGGATTTCTTTTTAAACAATTTTTTTTAAACAAACCAAATATCTAAGGAAATCCAAAATTGTTCTATCCGTCATTCGGTTGCCACCTTACTAGCAACCTTCAGAAGTCTTCAAGAGACTTGTGCGATGAAGGAATGACGGTGGCCTTACCTTTTAACGTTGATCCCAAACTTTTTCTTGGCCATCCGGAAAATGTTTGCAGTCATTGGATTCGAACCCACGACCGGCAAGCGAACGCGATTAGAATACTCAAGTTGTCAACCACACTACTACTGAATGAATTGGAATTGTATGGAATAAGAGGACCTGCATTAACTTGGGTCAGTTCATACCTCTCACAACGAAACCAGCAGGTCTGTGTAAAGTAAAATGGGACTAAAACATTGTCGAAGCCATTGAATGTGTATGGTATTCTTCAACGTAGCACCCTAGACCCAACTTTTTTCATTATAATGATCAATGATATGAACGTTCAAGATGGACTCCTGACACTGTATGCTGATGACAATTTAAAGGTCTTAAACAGCAAAAATTATGAAGACCTTGCTAATAAGTCAACCAACTGTATCAGTAACATGAAAAGGTGGTGTGATACTAACGGATTGATATTGAATCTATCTAAAACAGACTTTGTATTATTCACACCTATAACAACGAAATCTGATATCTGCTTATTGGTGAGGCCTGGTAATGAAAATGATGTATCCATCAAACAAAGCAATTCTGTTGAATTTTTGGGTTTATATGTGGATGAAAATCTTTCTTGGGAGATCCACACACAGAATTTGGTAAAATCATTGTCATACAAAAACTTCGCAATAGTTCAACTAAGAAAAGTAACAAATACCGAAGCTATAATGTCATATTATTATTGCTTTGAACATTCTTAACTTATGTATGGCATACTGTGTTGCTGGTTCTGAAAAGGTATTTGTCATTCAAAAACGAATATTAAGAAGTATATTTGGTATGAGACCAAGGGACTCATATCGTCAGATATTCATCTCTCAAAAAATTCCAACCATTTACAATATTTACATTCTGACCGCTCTATATTAATCATTATACAACAAGAAATGCAAATAAACTATTCATTCCTCCAACTTCGCTCGCACAGATTACAGAAGGTCCATTCATAACAACTCTCAAAATATATAATCATTTGCCTGACCCACATAAAGTTCTGAAGAATCCTTTGATCAGAAGACAGTGCAAATTATTTCTGAAAAATGAAAGCTACTACTCTCACGGAATATTTTAATAATTTATTTCAATTTGTATCATTCGTCCTGCAGTACATTTGTTTCCTACATAATTATTTGTAAACAATTCTATGTTTGTTTTGTTTTGTCTTTTTCTCCCAGATCTTGGGCTAGTGTCTAGTTATAATATTATAACTGTTTTTTTCTTAAATTGACAAGTTCTATACTTGTTGTGCATGTGCAAGTCTTATAAAATGAATACCTACTTACTACTTACTTACTTAACGTTTCTTCCACGCTGCTACCTGGCCTATCATTTTGATACACCTAATATTATAGAAGTTATGACTTGTCTAATAAATTCGTTGATTAGAATAGATTCGGTTATGGTATTCAGTTTGAAACTCCTTCCAGTATGATACTTTTGGGGTTAGGTACCTAGGTATACCTGCCTACCATAGGGAAAGAAACAGATTTTGTATCAATCATTACATGTTTGTTTACCTGGCTCTAATCCATATTCTGGTAGAAGAGTCACTGTCTATTATACTGAATCATCGGTATTGAAACTGCATTTTCAATATTATATAATTTAAGTATATGCTGCTAGATATTTCCGATGAACACGTGTCATAATCGCCAAAAAGGGGCATATTTTTCGGTACTAGAAAGGCTATAATGAAAAATGATTGCCAGTACACAAAAATAGTGAGTTCTATTCTTGAATTATGAGATATTCATTTAAAACACCGACATTGTGGTAAAAAAGGTGTTGCCTGCCAGTAAATAAATTGGATGAAGTAATTCCCATTACAGACACCTATAATACGAGCAACATGATGGGCTATATAATGATCTCTGTGGTCTGCTGTGCCGTCCTGACCTCCATCATATGGGTAGTCATAATCTACCAAACGAGGCGCAAAATGGCGCCCCAGGTCATCCAGACCGAAATGCAGGAGCTTCCCGAAGCCACCGAGGGCAGTCGAACACTCCATATGCAGCTGCAAATGTGCCCCGATAATGTCTCCGACCAATCGTCTTGCAAAGATAGCGGGACAGGGGACTCTGCGAAACGCAGCAGCGACGATTTGGTCCCCGAAGAATTCTCTGTGGTCATGAACGGTGAGAACGAGGCGGACAACTCTCATTCGCCGCTGTTGCTCTTTCCGACTAACCATGACAGGATTGTCAGAATGAGTGGGTCTCCGGATGCGGGGGAGCCTGTGGATGTGTAATAAGTTGTTTGCTTGTTGGGACAATCCGAATGTGTGGAAAGTGACGCATCATATTTGCACAGGTCTCAGTTATACATGCCAGAGACATAAACCTTGAATTCTCATTTATAATTTGATCAACGTCAATAATAATCCGCTACAGCTACTGGTCTCAGAATTGTTCTTCTTACCGTCTTATCAGCAATTTTTCTATTGGATTCTGGAACACACTCCTCATTATTTGCATGATTCATCATATGTTACGAATTTGAAAAAAGATTGACATCAGTTGTAAAAATACTTTCAAGATCGTATTTTCGGTAGTTCTCTAACAAATCACGAAATTTTTCCATTTTCCTTGTGAACGTGAACGGCTTAGGTGCATACAGGGTGGGCTATTGATAAAGTTCCTGAAGGCATAACTGCTAGGAAAATATCTTGTCGAAAAAACCTGAAACATAACGAGTGCGTATGTTAAGGGGACACATTCTTTTGTTTTTCAATTTTGGTCTACCCGTTTCATAGAAAAGATATGGAGTGATGAAGTGTTATCAAAACATTTCCCGAAAAATGCGAACATTTCGATATTTCTTGAAACTACTGAGCGCCTATCTTGATCGAATAGAATTTTGCATCTGCAAATCGAAAAACATGAAAAACTGATTTGTCCCAATAAACTATTTTGAAAATTTACTTCAATTATACGGTAACAGCTATGCTTTCCGGCACGATTTCGATATCCCACTCTTTTTTGCGCATGTTGATGTAAATTACGTGTATACAGTAATGTCAATAAGCAACGGATATATCCAGGATACGCTTTTTGAAAGCCGTCGTCTGACTTTTCAAATCGTTCATCCTTGTACACCTGTTAGAGGTGATCCATGAATGAATTTTTCCAAATGAATTACCTCACAGTTCACTGAATATTCGGATTCTTTGTGAAATTCAGTTACAGAAATAGTCTTCTGAAATGGAGGTACTTTGTTTGAGAATAATCATGGATCCAAACCTTTTTACTCTTTAAATATGGAACTAGTAGTAGTAGTGTCAGTAGCTATGTGTAAGTCTCTGCTATGAGGGGGTGATATGTTCATATTCATAATCTTCACAAACAAGGAATGATGAACCGAAAACATCTTTAGAAATAATTCTGATTCCAACCACATCTCAATCTATCGATATAAAAACAAACATTGAAATTACATTTCAACAATTCAAATATTCACACCTTGAATAAATCGTGTTTTTAAAGGTTTATTTTCATGAATAGGTTTATCTAATTACTGTGAGGTATGATGTGTCATTTTCATTTTATAATTGGTGTTGCAGATTACAGTGTTGAGAGTAGACAAATCTTGGTTACAGTACTAGGGTTTTTCGAATGATAATGCTGGGCGTTTCAGGTTCGAGCTTCAGTTTCACCTAGTGAATAATAAGTTCAATCCAAACAATATTTACAAGAAGAAGTATTACGAAAGCATCTACTTACTAATTCAAATTCTATAGAAGTTATGATTCTGGATAAGAAAAAAATAACAAACTAAAACTGAACTAATAACGTTCAAATATTGAACAAAATTAATGTAGTTGATTTGTTCTATATAACAAATATAATTGAATTGAAATTAGAAAAACCTCCCTGTGAGCATTTTTCAATGGAATGATGAATAAGTTATAGTACAGGAATAAGTCATTGTCCTGAAGACGGCTGCGATAACGAAATGACATACGTCCGAAGCCATGTAAAATATTCTATTTTTTCGAACGGCACCTGTGCCAAACACCATCCTGAGCACGTTTGGATATTTGCGAAGGAGACATGACCGCATTACGTTTTCTTTCAACTCATTATTATGTGTGACGGCAACAAAAAATCGATGTGCGAAGAAATACACAGGTAGGGTTTTGAGATTTGTTATTCAATTGGCATCGGATGGTATAGTTCTGATCTCGTTATCAAAACACGAAATTTTGCGCAAATTACTGCACTTGAAGCGCCATTTTTTATCATTTTGCTTAGGATAGTGATTGGTACGAGTGTTGTGTGATAGAATATAATATTCTTATATGCCCTTCGGACTTATATCATATCGTTATCAGATAATAGTCTAAATTTGCAGCCGACCCTTCTACTATGGATGAACCCAACTATATTGGGTTTTCATTGTGAATGGATTCTTATATTGTGTGAAATTTCAGTAGTATTTTGAATTTATGTTACTATTCAGAATGATTGTGGTAGGTATATATGTAAATTATGTACATAAGAGATTTTATTTCATTTTTATACTCTGGAAGAAGAACAATTTCATTTTTGAGAAACTGAAAATGATGGCCTTCGAAAATTGAAAATAAGTGCTTTATTGTTTGCCTGATACTGTATTGACTCAGCTTTTGACATGCCTTATATAGTCCGTCGTACTCCAAATATTTATAATAATATACGATAAGAATACACAATTTTATAGAATGTTCCTATTTAAGAGTAAATTTTTCGCGATAATTATTATTCATGAGTTTTTAGTTTGAAATTATTCCACTCTGCGGTCTCACTAATGTTTTTTATTATTTTAAATTTTACTGCGTCTAGCAAAGAGCTAGATCCCTTCTAAATTCTCCAACTATAGTCCAGCCCTGTTTACCTTTGAACGATTTGACATTTTTTTCAAAAACTGCACTAATGAGACTGAAAACTGGAATCTTAGTGGTGGTGGAGAAGCAAGCGGTTCCAGTATTATCTCATTTTAAAAGGTCTATTCGATCTTTATCGATCCCAGAAAATTAAGTGAACATAATATCCACTTCAACTTCTAAATCCCCATAATCGCGAACTAAGCCGCTGTTGGTGATTAAAAGAAGCCTTCTGGTGGACATCTCTCGCATTTAAAATTCTCTCGCACAGGGGTAGAAAAAAGGGGTTGTTGAATCTGTTGTTCCTTCATGAAACAATACATAATTGAAACTAACCTCTGTGCGATCGAACTAGATAAGAATAATTCCTTAGGGTGGTAAGTAGACGTTGAATACTTGCTAACAATTTCACCGCGTGAATTATACATTATTTAGGAAGAATTATTGGTGGAAAATTCAACAGCCCCTATTTTTTACGCCAGTCGAAGTTTTTTCGAGTCCCCCAATGAAGCGTCGTCATTTCGGGTGATGTTTCCTTCATTTTCTAGATTTGAATGAAGACTTGAGAGACCTTTAATGAAGCATTACTTGACCAACCTCATAATTGAGTTTTTTTTCAAATGACACCTTGCTTGAAATGTATTCTTAGTCGTTCAAGAGTTGACGTTAGTGGTGGTTGGAGTAACATGATTTGTCAGTAGCATTTATTTCAAACATTTTAATTTCGAAATAGTCGATATTTTTTAATTTTTTCTTCCCAGAATACAAAATTTCAATCGTTTTACAAACAATTTGGCACAAATTGTGATATAAGAAATAAGATATTCTAAAAAGTGAAAAATACTCTCATGTTTTGAATCAGAAGTGCCTGAAAAAGTTTGAATTCCGACTGTTGGCCTTTATTATTCTGTCTTAGACATATTTCTCCTAAGTTCCTCCCTAGCGTATTAGTTGACTGTTTTTATTCAAAGTGTAATTATTTCATTTGAATTGTGGATTTTTCCTTCACACTGAATGTTGAGAGGCTTTCTAGCCATCTGAATATACTGAAAATATCAACTCACATCAAGTGATGTGAGTGGATTCTTAGTGGATTTTTATCGAGCTAAAAGATAATTTTGGCCATTCACATTGTTAGTTAAACATTTTAGTAATACCTTGTGATATTATTTTAAAAAGGTATGATTTTACAAAATATTTGTACAAATTCTTAGATATTATGCTGCCTTTCTGTACACTATTGAGCATTGGTGGCTGGTTGAGATTTAAGGTAGGTACCTCTGCATGTATTTCACTAATTTCAATTTCTATAACAATGTCACATTTATATTTTATACAATATTTTATATACTTTCACTAGTGTTATGATCACTGAATATTTTCGTGTATGCAAATTGAATTTTTGCTTCTATCCGCATAATGAACAAAAAAAAAATACACGGATAAAAATAATACGACTTTCTTAGGTTCTTCGCCGATCCAGACCTTCAAGTTTCAGAATATGAATATCGTATTTTATTTTAATTCGAAACAGCCGTTCTGTATTATGTTTCAAAACGAAACAGACAAAAATATGTCGCAAAATTCTCTCGTTTCTATGTTTCATAATTTTTTTTTTATTTCTGTGAATTTTAACAATTCAGGTATTTATCAACATCTGCTGATCTCTGAGTAATAATCTTCGTTTCAGCGGATAATTATAAAAAAAACATTCCATGAAAGAGCTTTATTAGGGGTTGTGATGATTGAATAATGTGAATTTTCATTGAAAAATGTCGTAAAATTAAACTGCAAAAATGGAAGCATTTCTGAGAGTTGAATTTCAAACTAAACAGAAGTGTTTGATATAGTGTTACAGTTTTCTTCATTTGCTGCTTTGATAATTTAAAACCAGTTTCATAGTGTTTGGCTACTCACCATGTAAACCTTGACGAGCCACCACTGCTATTGAGTAGATTATGTTTTTAATTTTGTTTCCTACTTTGGTTTATAAGTTATTGAAAACACTGCATGAATCGATCATCTCGATATAATTACAGCTTTAGTCACAGCATTATATACTCAGGGTGCTTTAAATAAATGGAAACTCCTAAATATCTCCGATTCTTCGATTGTTTACAAAAAACTCCAACTAATGGACTATGTTTTCTGAGACGCATTTCTCTTCAACAAAAAATACTTGATGATTTCCATTTGATGTAAAATTTAGTTGACAGGTTGTATTATTTCATTCCATTTTTGGATTGGGGTTACTATTACAAATTTAATTTTACTAGGTCTGATGATATGTAAAGACTCACCGGCAAAAAAAACCGGCCACCAAATAATTTAGCCAAATTGTTTGCTCTGTAACTTTACCAATTCTGATCCGATTTTGGTGAAATTCCGACCGAATCGTAGATTCATGTTTTCAAATGTTAGCCTGAATATTAGTTCCGAAGAAAATCTGATGACACGATCATTATACAGGGAAAAACGAAAGTTACTTTTTCACCCTTAACTTCTAAACGCCCTGTGGCAAAGGTGAGTGGTTTAACTTAGCATCATTATGTTTTAGATTGAAGAGTGATCTCTTCTCTACATGATGGTTTTTTATTCACGTCGATAACCACTTTTTAAAGGAAGATACATGTGTTTCAAGAGAGTATGGATTTTTAAAATGTTCATTCACAATAATTCAGAACCATTCTCCAACCTTCTGCTTCAGCATGATTTAAATCGAAGTGAGATCCTCTTTTGTTCCTTCTTCATACAACGGTTCTTGAATAACGTCAATATCTCCTTTTTGAGAGAAGATACATGTGTTTCAAGAAAGTATAGATTTTTTGATTTTTCATAACAATAATTCAGAACCTACCTACCTATCTTGGGGGTGACCTCTAGTTCATTTGCCTTCGCCCAGCCTTGTCAGATACTCTTCAAGAGCTATGATTCGCTCTTCAAGGAGGATTTTGTGCAATTCTTCAAGGCTACTTGAGTAATTTGATCCATTCGATGCCACTGCGGTTGAATGCTGTAATTCAATATCGAGGAGAGTATACTCGTTATTGACTACAGGTCTGCTTCTTGTTGGTTTTTTATAATTGATTCTCCGGTAAGTGCGAAGAAAGTAAGGTAGAAATATGTGATAATAATCCTTGAAGTTGTTAATCAATAAGCTCATGTAAGTTCTGATTATTGGTAAAAAAAGTTGAAAAACACCATACTTCCTTAAAACACCCGTACTTTCTTTCAAAAATAAGATATTGACGTGAATCAAAAACTTTTGTGTTAAGAAGGGATCACACTTCAATCCGAAGCATAATGAAGCCATGTTCAATCACGCAATTTTGCCACAGGGCGTTGAGACGGATAGGGTGAAAGAGTAACTTTGGTTTTTCCCTGTATAATGATCAAGTCATCAGCTTTTCAGGAAAACTTATATTTAGGCTAACATTTCGGAACATGAATCTACGATTTGATCTAAATTTCACAAAAATCTGACAAGGATTAAAAAAGTTATAGTGTGAACAATTTGGGCAAATTTTTTGGTGGCCGGTTTATTTTGCCGGTGAGTGTATTTACAATATCGTGCAAATGACAGGAATAAACTCATTATCTTATGAATCATCGACTCAAGTGGAACCTGAAACTCATCGACTCTTATTTTCGAAGGCGCGTTCCGTAAGATTTATTCATTAATCGTGACGTCATTTATGTGAGTGTGATGACTCCGTGGATCATGTGACATCTCTAGGAAGGTTATACAATTACCATTCCAACCATATTTCAATAAGATTGGATTCGAACCACAAATATCGATGAAGTCAAAGAACATATACACATCTAGATGGCACAAATAACTCCGGACGATATAGAAAAAGTTCAAGAAGTTTCTTTTTTTTATTGTATT